TGGACAATTTTTTCTCACTAAAGGAAGCTATTTTTCATTTTAAAAAACAACCTACGAGTACTAAATTTCAAGTAAATACGTTTATTGGTTTTAAAGTTATTGTTGTTATTAACTAAAAGAATTTAATTTTTTTTAATTTTAACACCCTGTATCTCGAAAAGTAAATAAGTTTGACCCCTCATTAACTATATCGTTTTGTTCAATTTTTCGAGAAGTATCTACAGTCAAACGTTGTAAGTGTCATTTGGAAACACCCTGTATGTATGAAATATTAGATATTTAATAGAAAATATTAGATACTTACAATTTTGCCACAGACTGAACAGTAGATTTTTCCCATATCCATAGACAGCTCTTTATAAGGTTTAATCCAAGTTGAAGCACTGGTTGTTTTAGGCATTATAAAATCACAATCTTCCTTTTTGTTACGCACAACGAGTGTTTATGCTTTGAATATCAAAACAAAAATGATTTACAAATCTGAGCATCAAATTAGAAATGTTTCGGTACCTAATTTAATAAACTGGGAGATTTTGGAAAATCCCTAAATTAGGAACAAAACTATTAGCCGTTTACCTGCTGTTAAGATACAATAAATTGTAGATAGATTTGGGGATTAGATCATAAAATGCAAATGAGCGAACCCTTAGCGATTATTCAATAACTGAATGCCTCAGTGACCGAGACTTTCTAAGAATGTTGAGGGCTACTTAAATTGATCGTCTTAGAAATTGTAAATGTTTTGTACCTGTAGAGATTACGTACTTAGATCATTTCTTGATTAAAATGACTACAAAATTTTATACAAGAATTGAAATAAATTGGTATGTTTAAAAATTTTCAAATACAGTATAAAAATCTGAACTTTTATGCACTTTATGCAAACTTTTATACAAATATGCCAAAATATGAAATATTTGCATAAAATATGCACAATATGCAAAATATGCAATATGCATATTTGCCGAAGTCTAATAATAAATATTATACGTATAATATATAATATATAATAAACGTTCAGGAAAGTTGTATTTAATTATGTTCTCACTGCCTCTCTCTATAATGTGGTGGTGTACCATCTTGAATAAACCACGTATTTCGCCTTAAGTTTGATGGCAATTCTTTCCAATAAATCCTTGTAATTTAAATGGTGGGATTTATTGAAAGAATTGTCATCAAACTTAAGGAGAAATATGTGGTTTATGCAAGATGGTATACCACCACATTAGAGACAGAGGGCAGTGAGAACATACTTCATTGCAACTTTCCTGAACGTTGGATTGTTCGTGGTAGTCACATCCCTTGGTCATGTGTTGAAATATTAATATAATTACTCAATGCATAAAAATCACAAAAAATACTTATTATATTTATAATACTTAACTATAATATATACTATAAATACTGCAACAGTTTCTTTAGAACCAATGGTCCTATTTAATATGAGACGTTCTTTTATGGAATATATTGACAAATGAATTACAGAACTTAGTTTGACAAAAAGTTGAATGTTATTTAGTTTAACTACTTTTAATTTGGTTTGTAAATAAAATATTTCGATTATGACTTTAATTTAATACAAATCGTAAAATGTTTGACAGAAAATCCTATTATTATGTTATTTTGCCAAATCCTACTATTAAATATCCTGCTGATATATTTAGTTTATTTAATATTTCGTTAACTATTAACTTTATTAAAAGCATTTTATACCAAAATTCAAAAGTATTGATGTTTTGTCTAATTTTCTTTCGTTGTCTGAAGCAATGGCGTTAAATCAGAATTATGTAGTTGATTTGTTAAATGCGATTATCTCGAAAACTGTTTAGTTTTTAAATTATTAACAAGATTACCTTTTTTTGTTAAAATAATGTATCTTTAATATTTTTTATCACATACACCGGTAACTTAACCCTTTAAGGCGCAGAACTCATTTGTTCTTTTTAAGACGAATATTTTTTAATATTATGAAATCAAATAGAATGTAATAAGTTTTTTTTACATTTAAATTGTAAACTGATTTTTTAAATTTTTTCTTTTATGGGGTGGTAAATATTGCTACCAGAGATCATTTGGGTATTTGCCATCACCTGCAAATCACAGGTAAATATTGCTACCGCTACATCTATTACACACTAAAACAAAAGTTGTAGAAGAGAAAAATATTTATTTTAAATTTCTGATGATACATGGAAAAACATTCTTTACATAATGCTACATCACATTTTTGGCAAATTATATTGGTCCTCTTCTGTTTCTTACTTGAGATGCAGTTAGCACATCTACGGTAAGTGCCTTTGATTGGTAGATGACAACCAACATCAACAAGATTCGCCCTTTTTGCCTTGCCAACTTGACCAGGATTCGGTCCAGACCGCTTTCTACATGTGAACAAGCCGATAAGTTGGTCAGCTAACTGGCTTCTATATTGGAGCTGTGTGATAGTTGCCTCGCGAGGATGATTTTAATGATGCAGATGCTTGTACAGAATATAGCTGTTTACTATTGATGCATCAAAGAAGTAATAAAAAACTTTAATCCACCATTTTCTTGATTTCCATTGGATTGAATAGGTGGACATCATTTGATCAAAGTGATCAACTCCTCCCATATACATATTGTAATCAGCAATAGCTCTTGGACAAGCTACTTCTTCACGTGTTCCATCCTTTGTTGTTCTGAGAACAGTGGTTTTTTCTTTCAAATTGTGCATATTGCTAACAACTGTGACACATTTTGTCCCACGGTCTTTCCATTTGTATATGGAAATGTTCTCACTAGCTACAGAATCAGACTCACTCATTTTAATTTTTTTGTCATCAGCTAAATGTTGCTTTGGGAAGTATTTTCTAGTTGTTCTTAATGTGCCACAAGCAAACAGATTTTTTTCTAACAGAGTACTGAAAATTGGCAGTGTGGAAAAAAAATTGTCAAAATAAATACAATATCCACGATTTTGAAACTACTGACTTAATTCTAATATAACTCGTTCGCCATGCGTCTCTTGAACAACTTTGTTAGTTTTGCCTTGATAGATCTCGAAGTCGATGAGATAGCCAGATTTTGCACAGGCAATTGCCAATATTTTTATTCCTCTCTTCACTGGCTTCATTGGCATATACTGCTTCAAACTAGTTCTGCCTTTGAACGGGATCATACTTTTGTCGAATGACAAATTTCGTAATGGTGTGTAAGCCTCAGAAAATTTTGTTTTGAAATACGGTATGAGAGGTCGAATTTTATATAATTTATCAAACCTAGGGTCTCCTTTGTGGGGCATTTCTGAATTATTGTTGATATGTAACAGCCTCAACACTTTTAAGAACCTTTTCACAGTAAAGACATCTGCGACTCTGTACAAAAAAGTTTCTGTCAGTTGACCAGTAGGATTTTATCGTAGGTAACGTATGAAAGCCCATAATTATCAGGATTCCAAAAAAGCCTTTAGTTCTTCCACAGTGAGATCTAAAGATTTTCCTAGCTGCACTGCATAAATATTTGATTCCTCCACATTTTTTTACATATTTCATCATTGAAAAGAGCACTGAAGACATCTAAGGGGGTGGCACCTTCTGAAAAGTCAATGTTAAGTTTTGAATTCTCACTAAAATAAAATAGATCATAGTCTAATATTGGATCTATCTTTTTGGACCACTTGTATTCTGAGTTTTTGGAAGATGAAACATCCACATGGTCGTTGTTACTATTTACTTCTGGCTCTGTGTCACTATCAGATGAATATATAAATATATATACTATACTATATATAAGTAGACATCTCTTCCGGAGGATAATCTGGATCCAAAATTGAATCGTCAGAATTTTCATCATCGCTATCTGGAAAACCCAAAGTTGAATTTAGGTTGTTGATACACCTCAGGATTGTTTGATGTTGAAGCAATATTTGAAATTAAACTGGAAGAAATATTTATGTTTGAATTGGATCGAGTGCTGTACTTAGCTGAAGATGGTACAAATGAAATATTGTCTTCTGCATCAGAATCACCTCCATAGTCCGACATGCAATAATTATCATCATCGCTATCATTCAGACCTTTATTTAGAAGCTCTTCCAGTTGTCTTGCAGTAAGAGCTGGTTGCCATCGCCTTTTCGTATTTTCGCTCACTGAAAAAAAAAAAATTATCTCAGTATTCACCCAAAACATCTTTTTGCAAAAACTTACAAAAGAAAACTAATTTTCATATGAAAGACTAGCAGGTACACTAACATTCTCACAACATGCAATTTCTCAATTTATTTTTTTATTCATGGAAAATAATTGTCAAGTTTGTAAAAAAAATTGGTTAGGTTTGTTGGCAATGTTAAATGGTTTGTAATAATTTCTAAAAATTAATAATACTTACTATTTATTATGCCAAAACGTTCTTCACACTATATTTTACACTAACACACTTGTTATTATCCAATATTTCAAAGAATAAACTAATGAAAAACGAGAATAAATTACTATGATATTAACACCGGTAAAGTACCCTGCACAAATGATCACTGATAGCTATGTTTACCGCCCAACGACCTTTACGTCAGTGTAGGCTTACACTAGTCGGGTTTTGTTTAATTCCACCAAAAATCCTTTAAAACAGTATTGTTTGTGCTTACGGTCTAATACTCATTGCATATAAGTTTGAAAAATATCCTCTAGCAACACTGGTAAATATAGCTACCACTCATCCTTAAAGGGTTAAAGAGTTAGTGCAAATGTATGCCACATATGTGTGCATCAAATTATAATTTCTGATGTTCAATAGTAGCCAATTATTAATTTTTATATATAAATGTTCACAAACATGAAAGTTATAGCGAAATTTATAATTTTTAATTTTCTCTTTAACACCCTGTATCTTTCTTAATATCAACATTTTATTAAAGGAATTTTACTTAAATCGTAATATTTTAAAGTGTAGAATCTATGGTTTCTTTTTGTACAATTACTTAAGAACCACCCTGTATATAATCAATGTCTTTAAACTTTCCATACCTGTATATGCCCAGGCGTTATACTGACTTGTGGTGGCAAGTGGGGGGGCATCATACCTTGTGGCTGATAGGTAGGCATTGGGTGTTGCGGGCGATTTGGAACCGGTGGAGCTTGCCTACTATTCGGAGGACCTGTCCAACCAGGTCTAACTGCAACAGCTGATGCAACTATGCTTTTAGGGGGATTTGTCACCACAGGTGGCAACTGAGGTGGAGTCTTGTTTGTGTCCCAGGTGCCGATATCCATATTGTGCTTACCAGGAACTATCGGACCTGGGGGCATACCTGGTCCTTTCTTTTTTAAACCTTGGTTTTGAATAGGCAACTGAGGTTTAGCAGGTTGACTGGCTATGCTTGCCCATGTCGTCTTCTTTGGCTGACCAAGGGATTCTTTTGAGTCTATAGATGCTTTTAGATCTATACGATGCAACAAAAAAAATTATTAAAGTATTATAATTAGTAGTAATCAAAAGTTAAATTGACATTTATATCTCAAAGAAATATAATAAAAATATTTTCTATATATTCTAAATTATCCGATCGTCATTTTCTTGAGTGATGATGTAACATGTGTTAAGAGAATCTGATAGAAACTGTTCACGATAGAAGTTATTACAGTAAACTGGACGAGGAATATATTCTTATACAGCCGAAATAATGATCTTGATCTTTTTTGTACAAAAAACATATACTAACCCAAATTTTGCATGGCCTGTTCTACACTTTTCAGACTGGAATCAGGCATAGCCTGTGTATACATATTTGGGTGATCCCTATAATAATCATCGTACTTCCGTTGTCCCCCTAACTGACTCCCCCAAGTGTTGAAGTCCCCGTTGCTGTGAAAATAGTTGAAGGACGACGGTTGACCGGCGAATGCCGTAGGAGTCGAAAATGTCGTTGATGGACCAAACATGCCTGCAAATTAAAATTGATGTGTTTAAAATAATAATGGTATACATACTGTGCCTGCTAAGCAGACCTGAAAATAAATTGATACAAAATTAATATATTGTTAATATTTGTAGATAGATAAATGTTTTATGTGTGACCTTCACGATAATCTATATTTAAATGATATGTCCACAAGATTAACTATAGTTTTCCTTATTTACTTAAAGATCAAAAAATTGTATGAGCCATACAAAATTTATAATTTAAATTAGATAGCCAGTCGTTATATTTTATTTTCCATTTTCCATGGATGTTGCAGTTTTATTAGCAACGTTCATTAATAATATCGTATATGTATAGGAAACATGTCCCTATTCAACAAGCTGTGAATGCGATGATATGGTGTACAATAGCAGTGTTAGGAACATATAGAAAGTACTCAGTGAAGAGTAAAAGATTATGATCTTCGGAAAAAGAGGATTTGTTGGAAGGTCTCCAATCAGGAGTCAGGACCTGACAAAGAAAGATTTCCAAGAGAGGCAACCTCGCAAAGGAGCTTCTCACTTGGAGAGAAAAGACCTGCGGTGAAGAAGGAGAGCTTTGACATAAGGCATATGGTAAGAGCCATGGAGAAACTGACCAGCGTTACAAATAATTTATTGAAACTTAAGTTCCGACCAGATAAACACGAAGGTTGTGATTAAAAATGAAATAAAAATACTTAAGACTTAAGAGTCACTGAAGACATGGAGAGAATTTTCAGACAAGTCGCGCTCGGTAGCGTCGAGAAAGGAAAAAAGCTAGTAAAAAACCGGTGATGTCACGATGAAGGAGACTGCAAGCGTGTTCTCACAGGTGGACTTTAAAGATTTCTCCCCCGAAAAAATTAGGGAAAGAGAGACAGAAATGATTACAAAGGTCTTGGACTCAGGGAAAAGAGGTTTTGAAAAAATAAAGGAAATCCTAGAAATTAAATGGGAAGAAGATACGGTTACCAAACCGGCGAGAGGGAATAAAGCAGTAGGCGACTTGGGAGTGGTTATGGAACTTGGACTTTTCAGTGAGGGGAAAAGTTTCCACGACCTGATAAAGAAAAAACCGGAACTAGGAATATGCACTGAAGGTACATATATATCAGGACAAGTGGAATACATCCAACTGAATACTATAACCACAATTACAAGTAAGGGCCAGGAGAAGGAGAACCGAGGAAGCCGTCAGACCATTTTTATGGTCCCTGTGGAATAAGGGGAGACGGAAATGGACGGAGACTACTGGCAATTATGTCTAAATTGAGGGAAGACATAGAGACCGTAGGATCAGAGAGGCAACTCTAAAAGTAGTGGGTGGCTACAGAAGTAGGAACCTCAGGAAGCTCCTTGAAGTCACCTTTAGAGGTATGGACCTCCACCTCGTGTTGGAGGAGTATGAACAAGAAGAAAATAGGGCGGGGACAAAGAAGGTGATCGTCAAGAGAGGAAGAAGATCTGCTGAAACAAATAAAGGGTAACGTAGACACGAAGAATGGGATTAGTGTCAAAAGCACTAAAAAGACCAGGGGCGGAGACCTCATCTTTGAAGTAACAGGGAAAGAACAGGCCGAGCGCTTGAAGAAGACTATTGTGGCCCGTACGGAGGGACACACGGTACAGGACGTCCGGGGTTATTAGGTTCAGGTGGACATATTTGACATAGACGGAGATGTCACAAAGGAACAAATTCTGAGGCAGGTCCGGAGATATACCGGCAGCAGGGGGCCTAATGACATCAAACTCGTCTCTATAAGGGAAAATAGAGACGGAAACACAAACGTCACGGTCGGACTGACGCGGATCGCAGCCAAGAAAGCACTGGAAAAGGAGCACATACCTATCGGCTGGAGCTCGTGCAAGATACGAGAGAGACTGCATATCCAGCGGTGCTTTAGATGCTTGCAGGTCGGGCATAGTAAAAACGATTGCAAGGGAGAAAACAGAGCGGACTGCTGCTACAGATGCGGCAAAGGGGGTCATCAGGCACGAGAATGCAGTTATCAGGAGGCTTTTGCCTCACTTGTAAAGAATGTGAGGGTAAGAAGGGAGTAGGAGGTTAAGAAAAGTACAAGCAGGAGATTTGGAAGAGAGAATAAATGAATTAAAGCCAATGCAGAATGAATACAGGAATAAGATAAGAAGATCTAAGAAAGAAAGGTGTAGTAACCTGCTTCAGGATTTCGAAAGGGATATTTGGGGACAGGGCTTCAAGATTGTCTGTAGCGAATTGAATGGAAAAAAGCCACCCTGTGACGATGTCCTCGCCGTTCAACAGTTAGAACCGTGGGAGTGTCAAGGTTGGCGCAGCCACCACTACAGCAAGATGGTCAGTGGGGTTCGGAGCGGCTATTTAAGACAAGTAAGTAATGGAATTCATCAGTCTTTGGCTTAGCGCCTTAGGCTCCTCTCTTCGCCAGTGTTCTGAACTGGCGAGCCCACCCGGACGGAGGTAGTTCCGCTTTGAGGTTCACGCTCCATCCATAATCAAGCAGAGTCTATCGATATCGTGTTTTGAACTTTATCGCGGACCTGCATAAGCGATTGTTGACGAGTGTGTTCGGAGCTCCCGCTGAATTGAAGCGGAAGCGAGTATAAGTCTGAGTGCGATTGACTTCTTCTATTTTATTAGTTTTGTTATTAATAATTATTCTTTTCTTTCTTTTGTAGACGTTCGCCGGTGATTCCTTCATCGCGGAACCCAGACGGAGCGCAGAGTTAATTTTTATGTTTATTTTTATACGGCATAGAATTTATTTTATTTTTATTTATATTGTACATACATTAGACCAATAGATATATTTTTATTTTAACCTGTGTTTTACTGAGTCTGTCGTCCTGAAAGAGCTACCCGTTACAAATTGGCGCCCGAGAAAAATTGAGGATTGAAAAGTTACTAAAAATTAGTAACATGCCGACAGATAAAGACACAGACTCAGTAACAGGTACGTCCTGGATAAACCGACTTTGCAAAGAGGAATTGCAGAGCGAGGCCGAAAAATTCGGCTTAGATTCCAAGGGAACCGTCGACGAATTGAGAGTACGACTCAGGACATATTTTAAAAAATCGCGAGGAAGCGACAGGAGCAATGCAAAAAGAAAAAACTTCCAAGGGAACAGAATCCGACACACTGGCCCAGGAAATTTCGGGTATCCGAAGACAATTACAAGAATTAACAATAACGAAACAAATGGGGCAATCAGAATTGCTAAATCAAGTACGAAGGTGGAACACACACTTCGACAAGAAACATTCGGATGCAATAGAATTCTTAGAGAGGATAGACGAATTAAGCTTGGCCTACGAGATCGATAAACAAGATCTATTAAGAGCATTACCAGAGTTATTAGGAGACCACGCTTTGTTATGGTACAGAAACAATAACAAAAATTGGAAGTCATGGGCAGATTTCAGCGAAGATTTTAAAAAAGCTTTCTATCCCAGAGGATATTTGCTGCAACTAGAGGAGCAAATCCGAAACAGAAAACAGAGACAAAATGAGCCGGTGGATAGATATATCACGGAGATTCAAACACTAATCAGACGAGAAGGATCGTTTTCCAGAAACCAAGAACTCGAAAGGATATACAAAAATCTGTTACCAGAATATAAGCTTTATGCTCGCCGCCGAGATTTTGAAAACTTAGCCGAATTACAAGATTTAGCCCAAGAATACGAAGCTCTAGAAGACGAAAAGACCCGATCAAATCAGAGTTGCCGTGGAAACTGGAGACGCACGGACCAAGCAGAGTACGATGCCAAAACGACATGCTTTAGATGCAAGATGCCAGGTCACATCCGTAAAAACTGCAAAAACCCGTGGAAAAAGTTTTGTTCGCGTTGCGGCAGAGAAGGGGTTTACAGCAACGACTGCTGTTTTAGGCGTCAGGGAAACGAATTACAGACTGGAGAAACAAGGAGTCGTCCCAGTCTGTAAAGCAAGATTCGACTCCATTCGTTTTCGCCGTTACACAGCCAGCAAGCAATGACATTCGGCTGTTCGCATCGCTGAAAATAGGGCAAAGAACATACAGAGCGCTCATCGACACAGGAACCACTAAAAATTACGTCGGGGATAGAATAGCTAAGACATACAAAGACTCTCTAGATAGCTACAGCGGGAGAACAAGACTAGCAAATGGAGCGTCAATGGAGCTTAACCAGAAGTTGACGATTGAATGCGAGATCGATAGGTTACAAACCCGACAAACATTCATAGTAATGCCAGGGTTGACGGAAGATGCCTTACTAGGAGTGGAATTCCTTAGGAACCATTCTATCGAACTTAAATTCGATAAACATACGACCAAACAATACGTACAACATCAAGAAGAGGCATGTAATACTTTAAAAGACTCCACCAAAAATACAGAGCTAGAAAGGTTTCTAAGAAAAGAACTAAGGGAGTTTGAGAACATAACAGGACCCACTAACTTAATAGAACACGAAATAAAATTGAAGACAAAATGCGATCCAGTCAAACAGCCTTATAGACGACACAATCCCGCAATGCTGCAGATCATCAACCAAGAAGTAGACAAGATGTTAAAAGAAGGAACCATCGAACCCTCCACAAGTGGTTGGAGTTCACCGATTGTACTAGTTAGGAAAAAAGATAACTCGTACAGGTTTTGCATTGACTTTAGAAAAGTCAACGAACTATCAGATAAGGACGCATATCCGTTACCCAGAATATCGGAAATTCTGGATAGACTTAAGGAAGCAAATTTTATATCAACCCTCGATTTGAAACAGGGATATTTTCAAATACCCCTAGAAGAAACTAGCCGCCCAGTGACAGCATTCAGCGTACCCGGAAAAGGCCATTTTCAGTTCAAAACCACCCCATTTGGACTGCATTCCGCAGGAGCCACTTTCCAACGCCTACTGGATAAGGTAATACCTCCTGATATGGAATTCGCGTTTGCCTACTTGGATGATATCGTAGTAATATCTAAAACGCTCCAAGAGCATTTAGATCACCTACAGGAAGT